GCGACATATGTTTGAATGTCGACCATTTCCACATCGTCATCATCGTTCTCATCCTCTTCCTCTCCGTCATCGTCAAACAAACCATTTCCACCATCTCCAGAGTCATCTTCACTCCCGTCAGCAGCACCCCCCTCATCATCCCCTTCTGACATACGGATCCCGGCAGACAGCGCGAGAACATCGGTATCAGTCCCTAACGTTGGGGCAGAGACGGAGTCATCAGCAGTAGCTGGGAGAGACGCTGTTTCTGCCGCCGGTTTCGTATCCTCTTCCATTTGGTCGTCAACCTCGTCTTCATCATCTTCAGGGACATCCACAATATCCTGGGGAGGTGGTTTATTGGGTACTAGGTCAAAGTCTACCGCTGTCAGGCAGTGTTTGGCGGGTGGAAGTCGAACACCATAAGTTTCTGATATTGGGGGTAAAGGCTCCGAGTTCGTGCGGTAGGCCAAGGAAAGTAAATGCTAGTATATTTGTGGAGATCAATGGGGTTTCCTTGAAGATTAGACGAGCTACATTACTTCTTTGGGCACTCGACCACCAAATTCCCAGCCGACGCGAGACTGGACAGCAAGAATAACATCATCCGTCTGGACGGACCCCGCTCTTCCTGCATGGTCTGCATACACCAGAGCGTCGCCTAAGACTTGAGCAGTGTATCCTATCGGAGCGCACGGCGGTTTAAAAGTGGATTGCCCAATTATATACTATCAGCTCACGATGAGCGAACTCTAAGAGTTGTTGAAGGACCGCAGGGTGAGCGTCAGATATAGCAGGAGAAGATGCAAGCAAGAGGGCGATGAGTCTTGCATCTCTTGGAAGCGTATCATGAGCAGACATGTATTACGAAGTGTTGGCGGCGGAAACAGCCGACCCTCTCTGCTGAAATTCTGAATACACTTCGTTGCTTGAGCCCCAGCGTATTTCGCTGACCGATGCCCCCTTCCACTTACAACCTCTCGAGCCTATTTGCCGAAGACGACGAACCGCCAAGGACCGCCTCACTGGTTGGCATTGCATTCGCGATCTCAGGAAATATTGTGATATCCTTGGCATTGAATGCACAAAAACTTGCGCATAGACGTATCGAAGAGGCTGGAACGAAGACCCCTCCGCGGAGACGTCCGTCTGACCCGTCATCCTCTGCGGACGATGTCTTGCTAAAACGATACCAATCTTCCCGCCTGTCAGGACAAAAAGCCCATCTCGATACCTCTCCTCTGAAGCCGCGCGGATCCTCTTTCGCTCGTTATGGTGCAGCGGTGTCATCACGACTTAACCCTCTGCGCCGTGCACGCGTACAAAACGATTCAGCACCTACTTCAGAACCACCGGAAGGTTCCGATCCGTCTCTATTGCACCCCGAACACGAGGAGTCTGAAGACGAGGAACGGCCTCTAATCGGCAATGGAGGTATTGAAGAAGAAGATGAGGAGGGTCTTCGGGACTTCGACGAAGTATTGATGGATGCCGACGAAATACCAGAAGCAAAGAGTGAGTCTGCGTACCTCAAATCAAAATTATGGTAAGTATACTCCGGTCTACTATATTTTTGGCATCAAATATATGAATAAATCAGGTGGTTTGGTTTCGCCCTCATGAACATTGGGGAATTTGGGAATTTTTTGTCCTACGCATACGCCCCGTATGCATCTGACCGGATCTCTACTTGATGTCTCACGGCTTACACGACCTCTTTAGAGCGTCCGTGGTGGCTCCGCTCGGTGCAGTATGTCGTTCGAGGCCGTATTTCTTTCGATTCATACTGATGGTATCCTCAGTTCGCATTAATAGCGAACTGTTTGTTCGCACCATTGTTACTGAAGGAAAAATTCCGTCCAGTTCGCTTGTTTACCTCGGCTCGTGACATTGCTTCCTCTCATGGCTCACCTTACAGCGTGATGTGTTGGGGTTAGCATTATGTATCGTTGGCGTTGTTACAATTGTCCTTGCGAGCAAATCCTCGGATGTCAGAGTAAGCCGATTGAATGAATTCTTCGACGGATTGCGTCGCTCTCGCTCATATTTCTGTAGCTCGATCCAGATGGCCTGATCCACGCCGTTAGTCAGAGACTTTTTATCGTTTACTCAGTAGTGTGCATCATTCTGGCCAGTATACTGGCTCTTCTTTCGGACCGGCCTGTGGGACACCAGCATGTCTGGATAGATCTTGGTCTTTGCGCTCTCTTTGGTAGGTGCGCCCTTTCCCAGTTACCGGATTTTGGACCTAACGTAAGGCACCAGGCGGCTATACTGTGCTGTCGACGAAAGGCATAAGCACTCTAGTAAGCCTAGAGTGGATCCAGATATACAGATATTGGATTACATACCCGATTTTGCTGGTCCGCCGATGCTCTGTGCGTTTGTGGAGGAAGATGATTTATTATTATTTCATACAGGTCCTCATCGCGACAGGAGTCGGCCAGATCAGGTACCTGAATCGCGCTTTGATGAAATTTGACAGTAAAGTTGTGATACCAACGCAATTTGTACTGTTCAACTTTACTGCTATTGTGGGAAGTGCTGTCCTATATGGCGACTTCGATTCAATACCGTTCGAGCGAATGGTCATTTTCCTCTATGGATGTGCGTCCACCTTCCTGGGAGTGTTCATCCTCGCGCAACCCTCCTCCTCAGACAGCAGAACGGGATCGCCATTGTTAAGACCAACACTGGACGGTCGAGGGCGTACAAACGCCTCATCACCGTCTCGACGGAATATAATTCCTGCACACTCGTATCCCTCACCGTCGTCTACGACACCATCAAGACCGACCACCCCTCTGCGGCCTAACGTATCATTATCAATACCCCCTTCCCGCCCGTCCCACGTTCTTCCTCTCCGGCCCCGCGCATCTTCAACGGGTCTGGGATTATCTCCGGCGGCTCAATATCTGCTTATCGGAAGTGGCTCGACCTCGCCCAATGTCTCGACGAGTTTGATGAATGGATCACCATTCGTTGTCTCCCCTTCTACTATACGAGGAGGGCAGGCACCGCCTCAGCAGCCTCCAGTTCAATCACAAGCGCCATCCCTCTCGCGGTCGCAGAGCTATCGGGAAAGCGATGGCCGGGCTTAGTGGCAGGTAACGGAGCGCGCGGACCGATTGTCTATTTGGGATAAGGGATATCGATGTTACGTGCATTTGGGGGATTGCGAGACTTTCGTCGTGATATTCTGTTATTTGGCCTGCATGTGAGGGACGGACGATAAGGTATTGCGCTATGGGCGTGGATGTGAGGGAGGGATAATGGTCGCTTTTCGAGGTTGGTTGGTTACAAGTAATGGTTTTTTACATTTGGCGTTTTCCGGTAATCTTGCGGTGCCACTAATATAAATAGCGATTTCAAGCGCCTGGGATCTGGAGAATCTACCGATTTATAGGGTTGCATAATTATTCTTGAGAGAACTAGGCTTGGGACAGCTCTTGTCGGGTTGTTTAAACACAGGTACATTTCGGGCCACACGTTTGAAACGGTGGCAAAAGGGGAGGGGAAAGAAAATATTCGTATAGAACCGAGGAACCTTCCCCCCTACATTGAATCGGCTCATATGCTCGAATTGGGTGGTAGTCATGAGGGAGGGCGTTACTGTAAGACAGAGATTGGGATCGACCCTGGGAGTGAGAACTAGTGAGTGGGTGGGACGGCGGGTGACTACTGACCCTGAAGATAGACAGATCTTGGTATCAGATTCGGGGGGGGGGGGGAAGGAGGGGAGATCTGGACCTTGGTACGTGAAGGGCTGGGTGCAATTTACAAACAGTAGTAGTCAAGTCTCGCCCAACCTCGTTTCAGGCAGGCAGGCCGGGCCGGCTCAGTCCAGGTCCATGCCAAGGGCCAGGGGGGGAAAGGGGCGACGGGACGGGACGGCCCTCGGTCAGGTCGGCTCCGGCTTCGTCATGGAAGGTACTGTATTGGTAGGTGCTGAGTATCCTTGAGGGGGGGGAGAGATTGGTTCGAAATGGTGGGTTTTGTGTTGCTTGTGCTGGGTGGAGTCTTGTTTACTTTGGTGATGGTTAGGTTGCGGGGAGGTCCCTCTGCATTTACATTCCAGGACCATCTACAGTATATAAGCTTTCAATGCAAACCCTTTTTATTTTTTTGAGGAATGGTTTTTCGGAGTTGATGAGGTTGCCTGGGCGTCACCTGAAGTGCGCCCTGAAATGCACAAGTTGAGGGGATTGGAGGGATTGGTGGAGAAGAGGCGAGGAGTGAGCCGGAGTGGGATTAGGGGATAGAACGGGGTGTATGGACGGAGGAGCGATGCTGACTGTGATGTTTTTATTCATGAGTGAATTATACAATGCCGAGCCAAGCCAATCATCTGAGAGAGGCATCCCCCCAAGTATTTGGGTAGTGAATCAGGGCGAAGGTGTGGGCTCACGAGATGTCTTGAGCTAGAACTGAGGCAAAAGGAAACTACAATAGAAAAAACGCCTAGAAGGGGTATAGGGTAATATTAATATTAGCTGTGGAGTTTGTGGCGGTTGTCACAGAGAGATCCGACGGCACCAGGTTTTTCTCGAATATTGTTCTCCACGATTGCCCGGAATGAATAGATCGGAAGCGAGTGACCGATGGCCTCTAGAGTATATTCGATATAAAATCAAGCCTCATTATTCTTTGCATGTTATATAGATTCCAGAAGAAGAAGAGCTTAGCGTCAGGTCCTAAATCACTTCGGTCCGGTCAATGGCCTGTGGGAAGACAACGTTCTTGTTTTTCCACCAATTACGGTACTGTCCTGTAAAGAGCCTTTGATTTCTCAGAGAAGGAGGACTCCCAGGACGATAATGATCGGCACACCTATCATGACCCCTCTTATCTGTGGAAGAATTGATGGAGAGACGATTGAGCGGCGCTTCAGGGAATGCTTGAAAACCGGGAATGCTGACCAAGCAGAAGGCGCTAAGGCTGTTATCGCCGCACTTGGACGTAATGCGAGTCAAGGTGGCAGAAGACAACTGGGAGGGACGTTAGAAGGCCAAAATATAACATGACAAGGGTGGGACTTGAACCCACGCCCCATTACTGAGACTACGATATCATAACCACCTGAACGTAGCGCCTTAACCGCTCGGCCACCTTGCCTGCTATCCGAAGGGAGGCTCATGGATGGATGTGGACCGTTTGGGAGCCGGAGAAGTGTTGACAGTGCTCATTCAGGCACCCGTTAGGAAGGCAGAAGAGACAAAAAGGAAAGACGGCACGGGACGTGCTGTCTGGGGATCTTTGTCATCAGGCCTCGCCTTTGGACACGCGCAATTCATAATTCATAAGGTAATATAAATATCACGGGACCAGAGTCTCAGGGGTAGGGTAGCCTAACCCTATTTAATATATACAAAGTGTGATATCGCTTACATTTGTATTATCGGTTGACACTTCCAAAGTGGGTGGATCATATATATATTCGCTTCTGCACCGCTTCTCCTAAATGACCTCCACTTCCACTTAGTTATCTTACGATTGACTCAGAGGGTAATGGCGACTGCCGGACGGAATCAATAGTGCTTCTTTCTTGACCCGTACAGACCTTTGTTCCCTTTTCTGCATCGACTCGCAGCCACACCCGCTCACGAGAATCTCACAGCCGCGGCGGAATACTGCTCTCCAGACTATTGATGGGAACTCGTAAATGCCACGCGAACATTGAATTGGGTTGATAGGCAGCCGCCTGCCTTGTTCGCCCGAATTGTCGTGTATTCTACCGACACATTCCATGAATGTAACAGGGCTGGCAAAGGCCTTCCACGAGGCGCTGCCTCGTTTCCCGATTCGGGAATAGAATCGCTCATTTTGATTTGACAGGCCCGCTCTGACTAATATAGCCGCAATAGTTATCGTCACAGGTTACCTCCCATTCTGCTGGATGAGGCTTCGATCAGTCGTCCCAGGCCACGGCTGGCGACCGTGCCTCGCTGAAACGTTTGTCGATCGAGGGAGATCACTTTCTTTTCTTGGTATTTCTCCACTGAGAACCTGATCTTGGAGTCTTTTGCGGCGAGAGAATATTTATTGCGTGCCTTGGAGATGTAGTTACTAGCGCGTTTGTGGGGGTGACCATGGGGATCATGTCCCAAGAGTGATTAGTTGTCTTCCTTGCCGTTGGGGTCCGTTGGGCCTGTTGGGTCCTGTTGGTTACCCCTCGACGGCAGAAAGTTCCCCCTAGACTGTCAAAGCCATCGCGATTGCAGATTTATGCCTAGTATGTAAGCCGGGCATTAATAAGGCGGTGACACCGGGACCGGAACGGCTGATGTCATTGCGGGGGGCGGGAAGGGGCCATCCTGGAGGGACGGGAAGCCTGCGAAAAAAAAAAACAAGAACAGCTCGGAATCCTCATGGATTTTCATATTGAAATACGGGTCCTCGCGTGGACCACGCGTGGTTTCCGAGGCAAAAAAAAAAAAAAACAGTTTCCGAGCTCAGTTTGGGGGCAAATGAAGGGTGATATGCGGACGATCGAAATGGCATCGAAAATGGTAAAATCTATGTATCTCTGGATCTTTAGATTTCACTGACTTCGAGAAGAATGCAATGATGATCCGCCACGCACGATTCTCTCCCTGGGGACACCAGCTGAACTCGGACGTCGTGCACCCCCTTGACCAGTCCCGCCAGTGCTATCACTGCCAAAAATGATCCAAGCGGTGGGGGAATGTGCCTCTGAGAGAACGTGGCAATATCAGAATTGAATTGTGTCTTCGAGGGGTATTTAATTTTCATTTATTTCATAATATTTCCTTGGTTGCATGGCGCCCAAGTTGATCTTTTTCCACTATTTTCTAGTCAATGTCGCCCCGGGAACCTGCTTCCACAATCTGACCACGTTTTTGGTTCCCTACATTTCTTTGGTAAGTCCATTCGCCTTCTCATCCTCCTCCTTGATGCTCTCCACCTGTGCACTCACTCCTACCACTATGGTCGTCAGTGATTCTCCCCACAAGCTCCCATCACTCCATTCCTCCCTTCCTGCCTCCTCTCACCCCAGTCTCGCTCCCCTCAGCTTCCTCCAGCACAACAGCAAGCGTGGTTTCTTCACTACTGATCCCTTTTACCACGTTTCTGCATCTGCTTCAAAGTCTCTATCCACCCGTCCTCCTCCTTCCCCGCATTCGCTCCCTCGCGATATGCCACAATCCCCGTCCATGCATCCTGAACAAGACCCAACCAACCGTGCCCAGAGCAGAGAAAATATTGAAACTCTCCCTCCAATATTCAAATCCGATGCTGAACGTCCATCAACCATCTCCCCAGGCCTGACCAGTTCTCCACGTCCTGACCCACATATTAATGACAATGATCAGGCCGATTTTCTCAGATTTACTTTGCGACGCCACAATCGCCCTCCCTCCCCGCCTCCGGATCTATATAGGCCCTCCCGACACTCCCCCCAACACTCCCAAAACCACCACATTCCACCTTCTTCCACTATGCCCCCTCCATTGCCCTCATTTTCTGGCCAAAAACGCAAAATCCCCGATGATCGCTCCCCAATCCTGTCACACCCTGGTTCCTCCGAAGACCTCTCGCCCATCTCCGGCACGAGCCACCACGCCTTCATGGCCCCCATGCCCCTCGCAATCGACCACGAGGGCGGCCCTCCGCCGTCCAAACGCCGCGGATCTACTTTTGATGCTCGAATATCTCAGCTCAGCTTGTACGACTCTCGCCGCGATTCTGTCCATTCCCTCGATTCACGCACCTCTGCTGGTGCACATTCCTGGTCCAATCGCCGCGATTCCACCGCCAGTATATACTCCAACACATCCTCCTTTGGCAGTAATGGCGGCCCCAGCTCATCTACTACAACCACATTTCCATCTCCCGATAGTGGTAGTAAATATATCTCTAATGGATTTCCCTGGCCACCGCCCCCTCAGTCGCAACAGCAACAGCAACATCCACAACATCCATCCCAGAAGCGTGATCCACCACCGATATTTCACCAGAATTTCCCCCCTCCGCTCCCGCCTCAGCAGCAGCATCCCGAAATGTATACCGAAGATCATCAGCCGCCCTCCTCTTCCTCCTCCATGACCCACCGACGCCCCTCCATTCCCTCCATCCCGACTTTATCCTTCCCCTCTCCCCCTGAGAGACGGAATGGCGGGGCGCCCAACGACGCTCCTCCTGGCCCTCAGAGACGCCATACTAACGGCAGCAGCAGCAGTGGTGCCAAAGCGCACCCGGCCCCGAGTCACCGCCGCATGGCCGTCTCCGACGTCGTCATAGCTAGGGGCGGGCGCGAGAAAATGCGCAGTCCGGCCTCGAGATCGCCGATCTCTCCAAAGCATCCTACAGGGAGTCGTTCCAGGGACATGACTTGGAACGAGGCAGCGAGCCCTATTTCCCCTGGAGATTCTCAAGAATCGGGGGCGAGCAGTCAGGATGGACATGAGATGACTGGTGCTAGTGGGACGGCTGGTGGCAGAAATGCCAGTGGTGGTGGCGGTAGCGGAGGGGGCAGCAGCGTAAAGAGCGAAACACCATACTCTCGAAGTCCCGAGTTGCGTGTAAGCCATAAACTTGCGGAACGCAAGCGGCGGAAGGAGATGAAGGAGCTCTTCGATGAGCTCCGCGATCATCTGCCTGCCGATAGAGGTATGAAGGCCTCCAAATGGGAGATCCTCACCAAAGGTCCCTTGCTTCTTTTCTCGTTCTCACTTTACCCAAGCTCATCCTTTTCCGTCACTATATTAGCCGTGGACTATATCTCGCAACTCAAGTCCGCATATCAAGAGTGCCAGGACGAGCTTAACATGCTCAGGCGTGATTACTCTCTAGTCCAGGGTGGCCACCCCCCACACATGGCTTCTTCCAGCCATCTCCCTGACGGAGTCTTATATCACGAGTCGTATCCGGGTTCTCCCCAGTCCTTGGAGACATCTGTCGCCCAAAGACATGATCGACCCCCAGCACTGGACGACGCCACCAGGACACCTGATTCCCCTGCGAAATCTGACGATCCTAGTTCTGGGCACGCAAACCAGTGATTTTCCCTCCTTGTCACTTTTTTTTACCATTGGCCCGGTTTTCCGAACCTCTGCTCTGTACATTCCAATTTCATTCCTTTTCCCCCCATTTTTTTTTTTTGGTTCTTTTTCTTTTTCGGACTTCCATGTGTCCTCCGTTTGCTCGTTGTCTCTCCCTCTCTTTTTTTGTTTTGTTTTGAGATGAGATGAGATCTGCCAGTCTGGTCATTCCCCCCCCTCCCGCATCGCGCATTGTACGTTTGTCAACCCACCCACACACGCACACCCCACCGCACACACAGAAGCATCGCACGCCCTCCTTCGCCTCGGAACTGGGAACTGGATCCAACCCCCCCTTTACAATCTATTATGTTTATTTCTGACTTGCTGACTTGCTTGTGCCTCCTTCTCGTTCTCCGGACTGTGTATACTCCCTTGCTCTTTGTCTCTATGTCTCTACCCTCAGGTACCATAGCGTTTTTTTTTCTTTTTTTTTTTTTTTTTTTTGCTTTTTCGCACTCGCCCTACTCTCTTCTTCCCTGTCTGCCTGCCTACTTACCGCGGTTCTTCATAGCTCCCCCCCCCTGTGAAATCCTGGCTATCGGTATTGCCACTGTATTATAGCGTTTGGCAGTCAGCGAAAGAATGGGAGAAATGCAAAGGTGCTTTGCGGAGGTCTTTCTTTCGGAAGGAGAGATTTCTCGAGATTTCTAGAGATTTCTGGATAGGAAGTAGAGGGAAAGAGCAAAGAAGAGAGAGAGAAGCTGTGCAGTGGCGCTAGGACCACGCCGCAAGTTCAAGATGCGTGTGGGGCCCTCAAAGAGTAAAAGGTTAACCCTCCCGCTCCCCCCCCCCTTCCCCTTACATACGACACAAGACTCGAAGCAACTTCCCCTCTCCCCGTCAAGATTTCGAAGCGTCTATACATTCTCTTTCCCTAGATCGATTGGGAGAGGAGGATGGTGGATACAGAGTGACAGGGCATGACAATGACATAAAGGTAAAAAAAAAAGAGAACCACACCACGCAACAATAACGTACATGACCAGGGTACATACACACATACACACACACACACGTAGAGAGGGCGTCCCACGGGATCATTCGTCAAGC